CCTGCCCAGAGACACTTCCATCCGTAACATGTGATGTGCTGGCCCAAATCTTGGAAGTTTTACCAAGCATCTGCTCAGCCTTCCCAGCAGGGAAGTGGTGCTTGCACGGGAAGGTGCTGGGCAGAGTCTGCTGCGAGATTAATGAGGGTAAGCGGAGCTTTATCAGAAATGACAAAAAGAAGTATCAAATGAAATCTTGTCCAGGCCTCTCCTGTCTGCAGAGTGCGGCTCAAATCCCTCAGCCACATAAGAAACAAAAATAAATTCTTTCTAGGTCATTTTATTGTTGAAGATTAACTCGAGATCAGAGACTCGCATCACGCTGTGCCGATGCCTCTGTATTTTGCAATATAGTTATTGGTACAGATTTTTGAGGACTAAATTGTCAAAATAGCTCAGTGGTTGTGTGAAATCTAATAATTTTGTACAGATTACAGTACCTCTGTGTTTGAAATGGATTTTTAAATTCCAATTGCTGAGACTGCATCTTTAGCTGTTCCCTGATTGTTTGCAGGTATTGTGAATGCCTTTGGATCATGCCAGAGAGATAATGACTTGGAGCACAGAAATGGACTTGCAGCTGGATTCCCAGGAGGGCTTTCCACACAGGGTAATATCTCACATATTGAAATGTGCTCACCAAAGAGGTGTTAGGGAAGCAGCAAGGAGAACCTAGATTGGCCTGCAAAATGGGGATTACACAGAAACCAGAGCAGGTAAAATGAATCTATTTTCTCATAAGTTCTAGTAGAACTCAAACCTCATTATTTTCATCACTAATTATAGGCCAGGATCTGAAACCATTGCTGCAGGTACCCATTACCTTGTTCCCAGTGCAATTCCATATACTACAGTATGTGTCAAAGAAACATGGAGAATTGCTCTTCCCAGGCTGCTTAACACAAGTGTCAGAAGTGTTGAGCCTTTATTGGTTAAAATTCTAAGTTCTTTATATGATATAACCAGCCTAAGCAGAAATAGCCAATGTCAGTAGATTTTATTTGCAAAAAGAACAGCATGAGAGGATCTGTGCTGCAGTGATGTCTTCTTTACTGTTGCTGTGGAGCTGAAAGCCCATCCATCTGTCCTTCTTATTATGTTAAATTCATTCTGGAGTCACTTAACTGAAGTATCCTTAACCCAGTGCTTCTGCAAACTAGTACATCCACACAGAAAATAGTTATTAAAATAAAGATCTCATTATGAGCAGCCTAATGCAGTACCATTGTGAGTAATCAATGAGGTCTCTGGCAATCATGGGAATTATACAATATAATTGAGTTATTTGTAATAAAATTGCTGAGGAGTTGCTGACTTTCCCAGTTAAACATTTTTTTTCTTTCTTTCTTACAGCTTGCTGATCTTGCTCTGAGTTCTCAACACATTATATTTTCTTTTTGTCCTGTCATAACTTTAGAATAGGAATCTATTAAGCTAAGCACTGGTTTATAAAAGATCATGAAGTCACATAACAGCATCACATTGTGTTCCTTAAGCTTTAAAAACATCACTTCAGGTAAGAATTTTATGCTGTCTTCCAAAATGAAATAGAAGCTGAAAAGATACAGTACAAATTTTTTTTTATTATGTGTTGCTTCCACCTCATGCTGACAGTTTATATTTTGCCCCTTTTGCTTCAGTCTCTTAGTCAGCCAAGCAGTAAAATGGGTTTGAATCCCCTGCACACTCATTACAGAGAGCATGTAAGAGTCAGGGCAGTGCTGGAGCCTCAGCTCTGAGTAAATAAATGCAGGAATAAGAAGCCTTCAGCAGACACCATAAAGGCATACAAATGCCTTTCCTCTGCAAGCCTGTGCTCCCCTCCCCATCTTTCCCTTCTCTTCCACTGGCCATTACCCACAGACAAAAATCCTGGTAGAAAGTGCTGATCCTCCTCTAGATACTTCTACCTTAGCTTAAGCTGGTGATGAGGGTGATGTAAAATAACCTTGTGCATTTTTTTTTCCAAGAATGAATGAAGGAACATTCATGTTCTTCAGTTTCAGGAGTAACTGGTAATCTTCTGGGAGTAGTGAAGTCATTAACCACATCCAGCACTGGGTGTTTGCCCACTCCTGCCTGGAAAGGGGAGGGATACAGAGGCCGCTGTGATCTTGCCCTCTAGACTGTCTGACAGTGTAGGACACAAATGCACTGGATAGCTCTACATTTATCACAAATATTTTTTCCTCTCCATCAGATGCTCTGGCAAATATTTGGACCCTCAGAACTGCTATATGACTGCTATTTGGACCCACAGAATACAATGGTCATTGAAATTCATAGTCCAGGCTCTCATCAGCACAACTCAGTTGTGAGACCATTGATATCAGGGGGTTTTTTGGAGAAAATAGGCTTGTCCCCTTTCCTGTGGGCACAAGGTTTACAATGCTGTGCTCTGGTTCAAGACTGAGAGGTTAGAAGACATGGAAGCAAATTGTGAGAATGAAAGAAATCAAATTCAGAGATCCAGTTCTATGCCACGACAAATATCCAGAGAGCAGCAGCTGAAGCTTGTGTGTCTCTCAGGGAGGTGAATTTGCAGGTGAGCTGGCTCCAGGCTGCACAGAAGCTGGGGAGCTTTCCTGTTGGCTGACAGCAATGGGCTGGGGACACCTCACAAGTCAGGTGGGCAAAAGCTGCTCTCTGCAAGTGCAGTGGTGCTCCCAAACAGAGGACACCATCTGTCTGTGGGAGGAGGAGGAGGATGGGAGAGTTAAAACATGGTCATGACTGCTCTGAAACACGAGTCAGACCTAGATTCCCTCAGTCTCCACCCAGCCTGAGGGACAGACAAGGAAAAATCACATGGAGGCTTGCAGGGGATGCTGCCTTGCACCTTTTTTAATAGACAGGAGTGATGATGGAGGAAGGCTCTTGCCAGCTTTTTTCCCCTCATTTGAGGGGAAAGCTGTGCTGCTGTGGTTCATTTTTACTTAATGCAAAAGTGGCAGAAGGAGGGAGGCAGAAGAAAAGCAACTATATCAGACACAACAGAAGGAAATATGGGAGGAGGGTGGGGAGGTGGGTTGGTGGTGTCTGGTTTATGGCCCTTCTGTGCCATCTGAATGGTACAAAAGGCTAAAAAACAGCCTGAGCATCTGTGTTACTCTCTGCACCACTATGATAATGAAAATGCACAAATGCTTACAGGAATAAACAAAATTTCTAGTTTCCTGAGGTTATATAAAAGAAACATTTATTCTATCCGAAAAAGACTATGCAGAGAAGTATTTGAGTTAAAAAAAAAAAGTCATAATGTGTTCACAATGTGAGAGAGAAGAGCAGCACAGCAAGCAACCTTAACTAGGCTGTTTCCAAACTTCTGACTGCCTAACCATGCAGCTTTAATGCTCTGTTACCATATTTGTCATGCACACAGTATTATATAGATATATATAATACCAACTGTCTGGCTAGATATAGATATCTTATTTTTATTGGAATTTTATCCTCAGTCTCCTCTCTTCTTCTCTTTTCACAGTTTTTCTAAAGCAGAATATGAAACTAATGCTTTCAAATTTCAGCTGCACTTTTGAACTCGTGATATTTGAAAGCAATTTTTTTCTCATCACAACCTGAAGCTGATATGTTGTTACACAGGAAATGTTGCACATCTCAAAACTCTCCTCTCACAGAAGAGGCTGAATGTGTCCTTTTGAAGGTGTGAGATGCACGTGAAAAAAGTATCGAGATTACTCAGAAATTATCACTGCAACTCTTTTCCCTGCCTCTCTTTTTCTTTACACAAGTGCCAAAATTGTTTCCTGAAAATGCTTAGAATTCATCTTCTGTTTCATGTAGATGCTGGAGTTTATTTTGGAATGCAAGCTTGTCTGAGAAAGCTCTATTGTGCATGTGTTTGTGCTACATAAAAATATTAACATGAACTAAATCCAAACTCAGGTCTGTGACCGTGTTCACAGGGGTTCTTGGGTGAGGGAAGAGACGAGGATCTGACTCCGTGTTTCAGAAGGCTTGACTTATTATTTTATTATATATATCACATTAAAACTATACTAGAAGAATAGAAGAAAGGTTTCCTCAGAAGGCTAGCTAAGAATAGAATAGGAAGGAATGATAACAAAGGTTTGTGGCTCAGGCTCTCTGTCCGAGCCAGCTGGGCTGTGATTATCCATTAATTAGAAACAACCAACATGGGCCAATCCCAGATCCCCCTGTTCCATTCCACAGCAGCAGATAATCAATGTTTACATTTTGTTCCTGAGGCCTCTCAGCTTCTCAGGAGGAAAAATCCCATGGAAAGGATTTTTCATAAAAGTTGTCTGTGACACAGGTCCATAATTAGATCTAAGAGAGGAATTAGCAAAGCACTTAAGTGATGCCCAAGGTTAAATCCTGCCTGCCCAATGAAAGTCAGTGACACTGTAGCCCTCCAAACTCTGTGATGATCAAATTATCTTAGCACCCAAATAGTCTCAAAGATGTAGGTACCTAAATCTGCCATCTATAGATGGACAATTTCTTCCTATTTTGTTACAAAGGAATTTGATTTTGGTGACAAAGAGAAATGGCAGAAAATGGAGCACAGTCCTTCAGCCCATGTCTTGAGTTTGTGGCAGTTAAATGAAACTACAAAACAGCCTTCAAAGCAAGGAGAATCCTCATCCAGGAGGGAATATCAGGAGGGAGATTGCTTTTTGTCACTCATGAGCAGGATCAGATGCAGGATAGGAACACCAGGGAACTTTCTGGTGAACATCCAAGTATCTTTATCCTTTTGGATGCCAGCAAGGTTAAGAAAGGGTTTTGTGAATTGTGTTTTTGGATTCAATGTCTAAATCTCACATAAAACCTACCCAGGAAATCTAACTGCCTCTGCTGAATTGATTTTGTTTCCTACTGCTTTTTCCTGATTACTTTTATATTATATATTTATATTCCTTACACGTGTGCATTTTAACCCCATAACTGCTGATGTACTATGTGGCAAATCAAGTTTTGATAAAGGTGAGACCAAACTCCTAATTTCTTTTCACATCTAAAGCTCGGTAACTCTGGATAGGAAGCATTTGTCATCCATAAAAGTGTTGATTCCATCTCCAGTAATCACCCACCCCTCTAATCCATCATACTCCACCTGATTAAATGTAAATCTGATTAGTTCACATAAGAACTAAGAACTTCTTATTCCCTTTGGTAAACACATCAGTCCAATGACCTGGGCATCAAGAGAAACAAGCTTTACACTTTACAGGGGAGAATCAATAATCCCAAGGATATGCTGATTCTAAGTGCTCACAGTCACCAGGAAGGCTGAGGGCAGTTTATGAGAGAAATCCTTCATCTCTTACACTGCTCAGAGCCACAGATTTGCTTGGTTAGCTGATCATGCTTCCTTCAGAAGGCCTATCTGCTTAATGCAACAGCTCAATAAGGCAGCATTAATTTTAATTAACAAATTGCTTGTACACCTACAGCTCCATCACATTGTTGCCGTGGCCAGGGTTAGGAAATTGTCCGAAGAAAATAAATTTGAAGCAACTCAGGCACAGGTAAATAGCCTGTTATTATCCACCAACCATTGTCATTATGGTCATTTCTGGAAAATCCTGTGTATCCCATGGTTCATTAAATCTGTTTTACTGCCTGGATAAATGAGCTACTTTGAGGTGTCAGCAACAACCCCAAGCAGGAGGCTTTATTCTGCTAAGAAAGATGGCTATCAGCAGCAAGAAAGGCAATCCAGAAAACATCTTATACAAAATTCATGGGTTTATTAATTCATAATGTTAAGTGGTTTTGGCAGCTAACTAGTCACAGAATTTCATCAAGATGTGCACTTATAAACAAAGGGAAAGCAATAGCTTTCCTTTAGAAGCATTGCTCTGATACTTTTACTCCTTCAGGGAAGAAAAAGTAACATTCTCAATATGGATATTTTCTATTTCAGGAAGCCTGGCTACCAGATTGCCAGAAAATGTCTTCAGGATGGCCAGCGTGAGGCTTCCGCCAAGATTTATCAACAAATGAGCCAGGAAAACCCCACATCATGGAACCAGGAACCAGGAAAAGGTAAGAAAGGAGAAGGGGAGGAGACAATGTGCCCATTTCAGCCAGGGATTTGTTCTGCCCTTGCCACAAAAATAGATTTTAGAGCAGGCCAGGCTGGTTAAGGTGGCTTTAGTTCCTCAGCAGGCACTTACACGATGGCACATGGAATTTATTTCATGTGATACCATAACAGGAATGCTGTGAAGAGGGAGAGCAGAGACAAAGAATGGTGTTGGAGCCTGTGCTGTGGTTTGGAGAGAAACACCCCAGAAATAAGAGAGGAAGGGGAGCTACACCTTCCATTAGAGCATCCTAACATGCCAGACTCCCAATTCCTCTGGAGGGAAGGGCAGGATACATGGTGAGAGAGGAGGAAAGCAGGGAAAATCTGAAGGAGTGAGTGCTGGAGAATTTCTGAAGGGATCCAGAGGCTGCTGCAGAGGAGGGCAGATGTACAGAAAACCTCAGAAATGGCAGAAAATGGCCTTGAGGACTTCAAAGAGAAGTCAGGGGAGGGGACATTTTATCTCAAACACAGAAATACTGAAAGTTGCTAAAAATTTGAAAGAAAGCCCGGAGAAAAGGACCCATGCTTCTCAAGAGGGATATTTCTTTTCCAGCTTGTCATATACTTTATTCCTCACATTTAAGGTTCTGAATTTTTCCTGCTTAGCCAGCTATCTTGCTTTAATCTCTGTGAGGTGTTCAGAACTTTTCCCCATAATTAATTCTAATTTAAAAGGTTACAAAACTATTAACTTGAGATTAATAGGAAAGGTTTGCTTTTAATTTCAAGGTGCAGGTCCTGTGAGCAGGTAACCCTACCCCACCAGTTGTAGCTGCCAGTACTGACAAACCCCACAAAAGCAGAGGATGGGTAAAGAATAATGTTGAATTACTTTAGCAGGGCTGCACAGGGACAAGGAGAGGAAACTCTTCCCTCCTTCCTCTCTCTAAAATCTGCAATCAGATCTGTGCTCATATGCAGATGTGTAGCCAAGTGACACTGCCCAGCCTCTTGCATCTTTCAAAGACAAAAATCTAGCTGGCCTTGGGCATGTGCATGCAGCAGAAAACTGACAATGAGAGACAAGGAATCACTTGCTACAAATCAATGAATGACAGCCCTAAAAGCTGTCTGTGACTTACCTGCAGGTGTACAGTGAACAGATTCCTGTTGATGTGCATCCATATTACATGGTGGCCTTTTGTAGCCTCCCCAGCAGAGCAGAAACCTGCCTGTGACCCAGCACTGCCCATGGGGCAGCCTGTCCTCCAAACCAGCCACACTCAGGATATTGGACACACATTTTTTTCCCCCTGAGTGCAACAGGGTGCATGTAGAATATTATATTGGTTTCCAGCCACCTGCCAGAGTCTGATGGCAGGAAATTTGCACGGCTCTTGTTGTGGCCAAGTGACAGATAATAAGTGAGAGGTGCCATTGTTGGAACTATCACTATCAGATTTTCTAATGCAGCCCTGGTGTAATGAGATCATACACATTGCTCAAGCTTCAATCAGAACTTCCACTGAAAGAACAAGCCTGAATAATAATAAAAGCAGAAAGCATTTTAAGTAAATAGAATTTCCCAGATACTGCATAATGGTGTTTGTTATTGCTATCTTTTATGAGCCTCGAGAAATATTTTGTATAAGAATGATTTCCTTCAATATAAGCTGTTATCACGAAGGTCTCCTATGTCAATTCTTATTTAAAATATATTTCCTTACAGTCTCAACATTATGAAAGCACAAATTAATGCGACCTCTTTGCTTCCATTCCATGTTCTTATAAAACCTCGCCGCCGCTCTCCAAAGAACAGTTACGTGCCGCGCTGTACAAATGTAGCCCAAACCACTCCAAATAATAAGCTCCATTTTGGCAGTAAAAATTTATTCTGTGTACATCTTTCCAAACCCCTGAAAAGCCAAGGTCTTTCAGTGAGGACTGCAAGGAGCTTTTTTATTATTTTATTTTTTTTTATCCTGAGCTTGAGTGTTCAGAAGCGTGGAGGGAGCTGATATCCTGCTCTGCTCTCCTGGTGGAAAACCTCCATGAGCCTGAGCAAGCCACACTTCTAAGAAACTTGTGGGAACACAAACAGGGATCCTGGCAGCCAGTGCAGAAACAACACCCAGCAACAGCACAAAGGAGGGCAGGCTATCCTCATGAACTGCAGTATTATTTCCTTCTTGCCTAAAGCTTGCCATTGGCAAAAGGACAAAGCCAAAACTGTGTGCACATTCCTATTTAACATTTCCCATTTTCCTGTTTTGCACAGTTTGCTTTTTGGTTTAGTATGTATTTATTGTTGCTGGCAGCAGATAAAAATTATTTCATTATATCGAGTTCTGACCACTGGATTTCCATACAGTTTTCTGCTAGTGTAAAAGAGCTGCATGATTTCAAAATTTCTCCCCTAAGTAGTTAAAATCTTGTTTACAGGCAAAGAGGAAAGATGTCTTATACATAAAGTCAAAATTTATCATTAGTACAATTGAAATCCTAAGAGTCTCATCCAAGAATTGTTATTGTTCCACATATAATTGTTATGGAAAGGGAAAGAATAAGTCTGTGCAGAGAATATTCACTAATGAAAATAATAATCTCGTTAAATTTTTGCATGCGCACTTAGTTTCTGCCTCTTTTCCTGATGTTCTGCTCACCCCTCTGGTGTCTCTCCCTGGGGTTGGGGGTTTCTTTCTTATGGTGGTTTTGTTCCCAGTGAGTTGTCAGCACCCAAAATCCTTTGCCATGAGGAATACAAAGTTCACTTTGAAGTTTTCCTCTTTCAGTGTGTTGGATTCTTTTGGGGTCACTTTTAACATGCTTTTACAGCCAGGCTTTATTTCACTGATCTGCAGCTCGGAGTTACAGCCATTTTTAAAGGTGGATTTACATGTGCGGTATATGTATATGTATACTGTTTCTTTCTATGCTTGTTTATCCTAAAAAGCAGAGCAGCCTAGCTCCAGACCTGCATTTCTTTAGCTGTGGGGCTTTTAGGGTCAAGTCTGTGTTCCATATTGCATCATCCCAAATCTCTGCCCCTCCACACTGAACTCTGTATCTCTCTCATCCTGCCTGGCCACATTTACCAGAACTGGTGAAACCGTGGTGGCACCACAGAAAGATAAACAAAAGTCAAGCAAATCCCTCAGGAAGTCCTAAAGAGCTGGAGAAATTCCTGTCACGACCAAACCAACTGAGAAAAGGCTGCAGGCAGGTCAAGAAAAGTTCAGGCAGAGCAAGTCCTGACACGTGGCAGACTCAGTGCAAAGTTTATGGCCACAGCAATGCAGTATTACAGATCAGTATAATGACAGCATGTTCTTACATAATATCTTTTCATTTTTCTTAGAGACATGAAGCAGGTTTACCTTCTTTATGCTTTTAATTGTAAAACATGAATTTCACTCCCATGTAATTCTACAGTCCTCATAAATCCTTTACTTTGTTTTGTGATCTTCAGTAAAGTGACAGTGATAACAAAATAGTTATGTAATGTAACATGCATAGCTTGCTGAAATGCATCATAAGGGACAAGGTGCTAAATTTCTTGGTTGTCACCTTTCTAGACAGTGTTTATTGCTATTTTAGGTTCTAGCATTTTTAATTCTGTGATCCAATATGGCTCAAAACAAACCTAGAAGTTGTAACGTATAAGGAAATAGAAAAGCTGATTGGGGCTGAGTTTTGTGTAAGCAAAGGCAACAACTGGTGGGACTCTTCTGTGCACTTTAAAAAGCAGCAAATGCCCAGAGCCCATCACTGGACTATCCACAACATGTCCAGCACACTTAGATTTAATGAAAATTCATACTCTAATTTCCTAAATAATGGCATTTGAAAGCATGGTATCTCTATGAATACATTGTTTTCATCTGTTTCCTCCTCCTTCCAGTAAGTTTTTGGACTATTTCCCCTACTTTGTCTATTTCAAAACAGGGCAACTCACCCCAGAAACCACGGATTTCTTACTGAGGAAACATGGGTTTAGTCCTTATAAAACACAAGAAAATGCCATTAAATACAAGAAAAAAACAGGCACAAATCTGCATCTCTCTGGTCTTTGCTAGGATGTTCTCAGGGCACATCTTGCTGGCCAGTTAATGGATTGCTGGGCAGGGTGTTCAGTGCTAACCATTGCAACAACCCTTCTCCAGGTGGAAAAAAATTTACTGGGAAGGACAGTGCAAAGCCATGAAGTAGCTGGTGGATTTTTCAGTCTCAAGTTTCCCTTCTGTTTCCTTGGGGTTTTTTGCTTCCACCTAATTTCCACTATTTTTTTAATTATGAGATTTCATATTGGAAAACATTTCTCTGTGACAGATGCACAGATATCTTACCATCAAATACTGTATTGGTGACCTGCTCTGAATGAAGAAAACCAGTTCCTTATTCTGTTGCCGCTTCTCCACTTCAGCAAGTTCTAGATATCCCAGGCAGAGGGAGAGGACAATACTGCAAGATGCTGCCAACACATACAGTGAGCAGCAGCTTCTCTTCTGATGAATCTATGATTATCCACTCCATTTATCTCAATGAGAAGTGAACTTTTAAATTTGCATGGTCCATTAGGGCCTCAAGTGAGCAAGGCATTTAAGCATGTGCTTAAATCCATCTGTATTCAGGAAACCAATTAAGTACATGCTTAATTTTAATGATGGATCCTGTACTGAGGGCTATAAAGCTAAACTGCCTTTAAACTTGGACAAAGTCCCCTTTCTCTTTATTTCAAAAGAAAACAAGGAAGGTCAATGCAGGACATGGTGTTGGTGCAAAAAAAGCTTTTCAATTTCAGCTATCAGGAATGGAAGCAGTGAGGAGGAGCTGTAATAACTTTAACCCAGAACAAGTAGGGTAAATTCACAAAACTCTGCCTAATGAGACAGGGCAGTTCTGAGTGGCAGCACAGAGACCAGCACAACCAGAGTGCAGCTGGCAGTCACTCTGGATTTGTGCAGCCAGGCCTAGAATCCCACATCCTCCCACAGGAGACACTGTAAAAGTACAAAGCAAATTAGCTAACAGAACATTTCTTCTCCTGTGCATTTTCATCTGCAGCTTTAATCATTCCATTAACAGTGCCACAGATGCCTCTATTTTGCTTCCTAAGCACTGCTATCATCAGGACCCACCGAAGCTATAAAGTTGTTATTTCACACTGAGATGTGTATGATGCCTATTGATGTCCAAATTAAAGGTTTCTGAAGAAGAAACAGTGCTGCAAAATTATTATTCATTCCCTTAATTGCTCATCTGGTTTGAATTGGATGTGACATTTCATAATATATTCTATTTCACCCTCTTCACCACACTATGCAGGGCAGCTAAGTACTCTGAAAGCTTTGAGGAGGCATTTCCATTCGTCAGGGCAAAGGCAATATGTGGGCATTCCTTAACAAAGTAGGTCTGAATCAGCATTAAAAAAGTTAGAAATGAAGCAGCAGCTTATTAAAAAGGAGCTTTATTGACAGATGATTTTAGCAAAGCCACCAGTATTTGAAATGACTGGGAAGTACCCAGCAACACCACAAAATTACATGAGGAGACAAACACCACAGCCAACTCTGCAGGTGAGAGAAGCAACAAGCCAAGGCTGGCCTGTCCCTGAAGGACTAATTTTGACCTGTATTAACTGCTTAATCCAGGGAGTTCAGTTTAACACCATTAGAAAAAGCAGAGCACGCGTTTAACAAGTGAACAGACAAAAAAAATACCTCAAAGCTCCAGCTCAGCTTGTACTACTCAATAGAGCTGTTAGAGCAACACTGGCCTGGGGCACATGACAAGTGCTAAAACAAGAAGATAAAGAAGTCAGCAATACATTTACAGATACTCACATTATACTTCTGGAAAGTATTTTGTGTTCCCTTCTCAATGTACACATTGGCAAAAAGGTAAAGATTAATTTCTGAGCAGTGCACTGGTGGGCTGATTTTTTTTCAGGAGACAATTATAAGATGGACATTTTTAGTAGCATTTGTGCCCCAAATTCTGCAGCATGTGGATGTTCAATGGCAGGAAAATTCTTCCTTACTTTGCCCCTCACCTGCCTCTGTTAACTTTTCCATTCTGTACCTAAATTCCCTTTTCTTTTCCCAACCACCAGGTAAATTGATCCAGACCTGCATGCATGCAGTATTTGATGTCCTTGGCAGCAGGAACCTGTGATGGCAGCCAGGATGAGCCCACGTGAGTATTGGGCTCTTCAATTATCCCCCAGGAACCAGCAGAGCTCTCACAATTCCTTTTTCTTCTTTGCAGCCTTCAAGACTTTGCTGGGTTTGCAATGCGGCAATTATCCCCAGAGAAATGGAAGAGACCTCACGTTTCCCTTGGTGAGAAACAGTTAAATATTTGCTGGGTCACAGACACAAAGCTAATGTGCTGCATTTCTCTTAAATTAACCCAAGGTGCAGGATGGGCCAGAAAAGAAAGACAAGCCCCTCATTTCCAAAGGTGTTTATCCAACGCTGGCTTATTCCAAACACAGAAAACACTGCTACAGCCCTGGGAGCAGCTCCCATTTTCTTGTCTGTTGGGTGGCTGCCCACACAATGAGGCTGCTGTGTGAAAAGGGGGCCCACCTCCTCCTTTGGCCATCTTTTAAAAGAAAACCACCTGTTGCCTCTGTATCCTCTCCATGCCCTCCAAAAACCCACGGATCAGTCCTATTTGGAGAGAGGTTTTGTTTCTATGCCCAAACTGACACGAGCTCTGCTTTGAGCCTTTGAGAAATGCAGCAATTCTTTATATACCCACAGAGAGGTGAGAAAGTTGCCAGTGGTGTTTGGGCAGGGCCAGAATTGGGATGCTGATCAGTGGGTTTGCTCTTGGATGTGGGTTTGGATCATGTCCCTGAGCTTGCACGTGGGCAGGAGTTGTGTGTGAGAGCTCTCATCAGCATTTCTCACTGCAGGAACCTTCAGCCTTTGCCACAGAATCTCAGCTTGTTTTTTTCTTTTTGCCTTTTATATGTTTCTGAAAGCATCCTAAAAACATATGCTTTTAATCTCCTTTGAGTCATCAAAGAGTTTGAAACAACACTCCTGAGAGCCTGGGGACAGGAGCGATGCTGTGCCACCATGAAATCTGACATTTTGCTAAGGTACCACATGAGTCAGTGTTTTACTGCAGATTTAATTATTTTGCTGCAATCAGAAGTCTGAACACATTAACTTTTCAGAGCCCATTCTTGAGTGAGACTGGATATGGCTGCATCTTGCAGAATGTAGATATTCTTCTCTGCAAAAGAAGAATACATTGATGGTGGTGGGGATAGAAAAACCAAAGCTGTGTCACTGAGCCTAGGAAAAAAGAAAGAGAGAACACAGAAAGCAGAAATATCTTCCTACTAACTCTATTTGGGTTTTGGTGAGAGAGATGATAGCCTGACAAGCAGAGGAGAAAACACTCCTTAGCATCTGCTGTGACTGTAGGATAGTGAGAACAAAGGAAAACCCTGTGTATCCTTTCCATTGCCCTGTGTGCCCATCCAGCACTTGGATCCTGTTGCAGCTCTGTCTTCACTGTGTGAAGGCTTTGTTTCTTTGATCTTGGTGGATTTCTGTTCTTTGAACAATCCTTTCCTTGGGTAATAAAAAGCCCACGTGTTTCTACGAGTAAGATTTTACGCATACCCCCTCAGAACAGGTGCTAAATAATAGTTACAAGGAGAAAATGAATGTTTGATCCTGATAAAGTCACCCAGTGGACAAATGACCTCAGAGACGTGCCCAGGAATGTGCTGGATCTGCAGCCAGCTGGAAATTGTGTGGGTGCCATGGGCTGCTGTTCAATTGTGCTGCTGTGCTGCCCTGGTGTTCACCACCTGTGGAGCTGCTCCAAGGTCAGCAAGGAAGAATCAGGGCAATAATTAGACATCCTGTTTTTCAATTAGAAACCACACAGTAATGAAAAGCTTTCCAGAAGATCACTTACTGTATTATTGGGTTGGGGTTTTTTTAATTGGCTCTTACAATGAGTTCTGCTTTAGCGACTAACTGGGCAGTCACTGTTCAGCTTGGGAAGTGCAAACAGGCTGGGTTAACCAAAGTAAAAAGGACTGAATTGATTTTCATATTAATAGGAGAGTTCATTCCAGAGAGAAAAGGTTAATTTGCTTTTCAGTGAGTTTATGGAGAAAGTGCTTGTGGTCAGAGTGATAATTTGTAGCTAAATCACACGTTTAAAGGCAAAAAGGATTGCAGAAAGGTTAGGGACAGCATTTTCAGTATTATGCAATGGAACTGTCAGCATTGTTTTCTGTGCTTTCTTCTTCCCCAAGCACAAGGATTTGAGAAAGAAGCCAGCACAATAGCACTGTCACCTGTGGCCTTATTTTTTTCCTTATATTTCTTTTCCTCTGCACATCAGATATTTAACAAATACAGAAGCAGAGAGAATGCTGTCTCACCCAGCTTTAATGCTGGTCCTGCTTATGGTCTGGGAGCACTCCTCAAATGCACATGATTTTTGTTGGGCTTGGCTTCCCCACAAAGGTGCTGTCTGTAGATTTTAATTTTTAATTTATTTTTTGTTAGCATTATAATTCTTGAGATTTGTGAATTATTAGAGATGCAAGTGAAACAATTTCTGCTTAACATGATGACTTGACATAGATAAAATTCTTGTGAATATGGGTTGGGGTTTCTTTCTTTAGTTTTAGCCAAGAAGAATCTGTGAAATTTAAACTGAGTATGAGATGGGCTAACTTGTTTCTTTGGTTTAGGAGCTGAAATTTTGGATAATCACCTCCAAGGCAAAGAATGAGTAACAGTGGTAAGTGTGCTGCTGATTTAAAAAGTGATGTAACAAATGTGACTTGAGGAGCAGTGACAGCAGCTTGCCCATCCTACCTTTGATGCTTTATTGAAGGCTTTAGCAAACATGCAAACCTAGACAGGTAAACAAATACCAAGCAATGCCTGCCCTTTGGAACTGTTTAAATAAAAAGTGCTAACAGAACACCTTTAGAACTGTGGGGTTTGCTACACCCGATGTAGCTTGCACGGGGGTGGAATGAAAAGCCCAAGTCAGAGAAACATCCAAAAGGCCAGACTTTAAATTTCTGTCCCTTCTTGTGTGAGAAGGGACAGAAATTTAAATTGGCAGAGTTCAAATTATGTGGAAGTAAAATTTTTGTTGTAGCTGTTCTGTGTTATCCTGGTCCATGAGTGAGGCTCATGGGCTGCTTCTTCCTGGTCTCTGTTGCTGTTTGGGGGGATCAGAGCTTTGTTCCACTGGTCTCTCTCCTTGGTTTAACCTTTCTCCCCCATCACTCACCTGGTCACATCTTACACAGCTCTCATCTCTCCTGCTGCCCAGTGCCACTGCCAGGTTCTGGCATTGCCTGCAGCCTGAGACTTTGGCATCTGCATATTTTCCTGAGGGCTCCATCTGTGAGGTTATTTGAGCCTGGTTACATGGGGATACTTCAGACTAGAACCACTTTAAGCTCATTTTGTAGTACAGAAGCATCCCTGAAGAAATGAGGAGAAAAAAAAAAAGAAAGCAGACCAGTACTTTATAAGCTCTCTTGGATGACATGTACAAAAGTGCATGCAGGTATTTCTACAGACTATAAAGGAGAGTTCAAACTGACCAAAAAATAGATAAAACCAGTAATCTTCAGGATGCTATCTGCAGTAAAGATTATATATTTCAGATTAAAATCTATGCTAAAAAGGGTATCTTCTTTGCTGTGCCAAAAGAATGGTTGAACCTGCCACATTTCGAAGCTCACATGTGGGCATGATAAAATCTTAACAACATGCCATTAAATATGCCTTTACAACATCTATTCTGCCTCAGCTAGATATATCTGTGAATCCTCCCTTTGCTCTGGAGATTAAATAAACTCCCTGGACAGCTGAGAAGAATTAAAGTATGACCTGATAGTTTCTCTGCTTGACAATAATATTGTCTGTCAGTTTGTGCTGTATCCAAGATACTGTTCTCTGGCCCATGCTCAGAAAACAGATATTGATGGGTTTAACTGATTAACATCTCTACATCATTTGTCCCTTCAGTCTCAAAATATATTTTACAAAATGCTGCAGCAGGTGTGCTTTCTAGACTTTGCACAGTGGTGCTCAATGCAAATATTTCCATGTATCCCCCAGCTAAAGCCTTGAAAGGTTTTTTCTGTCTTAGACAAGCAGCAGTGCTGTCACATTTGGCCACTGGAGCCCAACATTTTGACTGAGACAGGGTTTATATTCTGGTAAGAAGGTATAGAAAGATTGTCTGACTATTCCAAGCTTCTCTCACAGGACAGAATATCAGTTTCTAGCTGGTCTAAATGCAGATGTGCTGATACCCCAGCAATTTTGGGTTGGGCACCTGGACAGGTGATAACATCTGCTACATGCTTTGAAGCATATTGATGATTCTTAAAAATAACCATGGTCTTACCTGTCACAAAAGTGGAATACCCAAATTTTAGTGTTCATCAAGTGATGATGTGAGAAGGGAGAAGGTGAGTGGGAGAGGCTGTCAGTTTTCCTTTGGAAAAGGAGAGAGGAAAGCTGGATATGGGGTTGCTCATGGGCTACAGCCTGCTCCCTGACCTGAGATGCCTGTAAGAAAATGTTTGCTCATGCATTGTTTATTTAATAAAACTTTCAGACCTTTCATTTATTTAGGCTTTACATCAAAATCACCCAGACTTCCTTTAAACAACAGTATTTAGTCCATAAGTGAAAGGAGCAGTGACTGTGATGTGTCCCATAGGAACCATCCCTCACCTCCAAGGCTGGTGAGGAGAGAGGGGGATGCAGATTTGGGGAAACCAAGAGATCACAGATGGATTTATTATCCATTAACTTTCTTATCCTAAACAGATGGCCGAGTCCCAGATTCTTCCTTATTTTATAAGGGAGTGCATCCACGTTCCAAATTTGGATCTGTGTGCCAAAAGTGAAATTCACACTTCCCATGAAAAGGAAAACAGTGACAGCATCCTCAGAGACTTTCCCTCCTCAACCATGGAAAATGGATGGAAATTCTAGGAAATAGGAAGTGTAGGCAGCAGGAGCAGTTCAACTCCCCCCAGGCCCCTGGATCCAGCAGAGCTGAACACCTGAGCATCACCCACTGATAACAGCCCAGGCTGGCTCTGCAGGAGCTGGGGATGAGAGGCACAGCCATGAACTGCCCAGGTCCTGCACTAAACACAGCTGGGGAGTGGTTTGGGCACTGCTGGGACCCCTCCCAACACCAGCATTGGCCCCAGACCCTCAGAGAGGCCCAGGGCAGAGGGAGGAGGCAGCTGTGCTGCTCTGGCTCCTGCTTGTGCTCAGTTTATGGCCAAGATGAGCAGTTCCAGCTTCCTGGAGCCCACTGTGCCATGCAGATGGAAAAGGGGATAAAGTACCCACAAAGTGTGTGGTGGCATAACACAGATGATGAAATACAGCCATGGCTGCACAATAATGGTATATGTTCTAGTAGGCATAACAATGAATTAAGGCTGCAATGAAAATGCATAAATTCTCCTCTTTTTAATTTTTTTTTTAAATTTTGTGTTCATTAACTTCTGCTGGCTTGGGAGCCATTCCTGTACACACTTCCAAAAGCCATAAAGTCATTTATGCACCACTGGAAATTATTTTAGATATTCAAGCCCATGTTACTACAAACTGCCAGTTGATGACCCAACTATAGCTTTGGAATCCAATTTAAATTGGCCATTTTAGCAAAAAGCTACACACTTTTGTTACTGCAAATGGGTAGAGGAGTTATTCTCCATTGTAAAGCAAATTGTATTTTGTTTATCTAGCGTTTAAATGTCCAGTGTTAAAAAAAAAAAAAAAAAACCAAAAAAAAAACAAAAACGGAGGTAACAAATTAAAGAACATCATAGATTGGCATTTTCCTCCAGCATGATGATTTTAAAGCACTTTTTTTCCTTCATTTTCAGACACATTCTAGCCTTTCAGAGCAAACTGCTATTCATATTTGAATTCATCTTTCTTAGCTATGGCTGATTAAAACTGGAGACAGCATTGCAGATGAGGTCTAAGCAGTAAAATGGCATGAAGTCTCCCTCATCCTTACTGCAAGGAACCTGTCAGAGGCATTTTTGGACAGTCATTGCCTTTTCACAGCTCTGGTGGCTCTCAGTTGTCCCATGGCCAAAACCCCCTGATCCTTCTCAGCATCAGCCATCCCTGGCTAATGATCTCCCACTACAGAGCAGAAAAGTGATAATGGTCCCCAAGCCCGAGCCCATTTACCCTCTGCACTATAAAATTTAATTCCACTTCTATTACTTTTCCCCCTGAGGCTGTGCAGCTCTGCCTCCCGTGCCAGCCTGATGCTCTTTACACTGGTGCTTCCTCCTGGTGCCATCAGCCAGTTCCATTTGTGCCCTTTGTGGCCATGAAATAAATATTAAAATAAATATTTAAAAATATATATTAAATTAAACCACACCTAAATAATAAATAAATATATATAGATATATTAAATAGCACCAGACCTAAATATTAAATATATATATTAAATATTTAAATATATATTAATATATGTAATTATATATATTATATATAATATAATATAATATATATTAATATATGTTAAATATATTAAATATTTTAAAATATATATTAAATAAAACCACACCTAAATAATAAATAAATATATATATATTAAGTAACACTAGACCTAAATATTAAAAATATATATATTAAATAAAACCAGACCTAAATATTAAATATATATATTAAATAAAACCAGACATGCTTTCTCACTGCTTTATTAATAGCAAACCATGAAATTATTGACATGAAACTAAAGTGAGTCCATTCCTTTAACAAGGATGTTGAATAGGAAAAGAATTTAGCCAAGTACAGACATCCCAGACATCCCTACAAGGATCTCTCTTTACACTGGTGCCTCCTCCTGGTGCCATCAGCCAGTTTCATTTGTGCCCTTTGTGGCCATGAAATAAATAAATACTAAAATTAATATTAAATATTAAAGATATATATATTAAATAAAACCAGACATAAATATCATATATATATGTATATATATATAAAAAATAAAACCAGACATGCTTTCTCACTGCTTTATTAACAGCAAATCAGGAAATTATTGACATGAAACTAAAGTGGGCCCATTCCTTTAACAGGGATGTTGAAGAAAGGAGCTGAGCCCAGTACAGACATCCCAGACATCCCTACAAGGGCCACCACAGATGCACCTGGGATCCAACCCTTACAGATCCAACATCACCATTTCTGGCGTGACCCAGCACCATCAACCCCACCTGGCTGCCAAGGGCAGGGCCAGCCCACAGCACCACAGGGCCCATGGGAGCAGCCAGAGAGGGAAGCAGAGATCCTGCAGGGGGTGAACACACCAGATGTCTCAGCTTCTCATTCTGATGGTCTTCAGCTCATCTTGCCGCTGGCTTGAAGTGCCCACGTGCAGGAGAACCATCCTCATCCTCCTCCAGCTTTCTCCCTGGTCATGCAGTGCACACACTTCCAGCTGAAGGAAGCCCAAGTAAGTGAAACTCTTATGGCCTTGGCTTTTATTCTGAGCACCCCATGCAGCTTTTCTGAAAAAGGACTGTTATAAAGATTTTTCAGAGAAATTGGGGTCACCTGCTGCAGTGAACTGAACATAATTGGGAAGCACTGTAGATCTCCTCTGTTTGGAAATGCATTGCGTGTGGATGGGGCTAGTTCAGCTTTCTATGTGTTTCTGGCTTCCCATGCTATTTTTAAGAGCTGTAAATGGAGCGGGTCTTGTCCCCCTCCTTCCACCCTCTCCTCCTACTCACTGATTTCTCATCTTAAATTAAATTGGGTACAAACACTGTAACAAATAATTTTCTCTCTACATTATAAGAAGATAGGCACAGACAGAAGTTCAGAAACATACAGCATGTAGCATCTTTGCAAGATAAGATCAGCAGTGTGGCTTTCTGTCACAGGGTTTGCCTTTAAAAATTGCAATCATCAGCTCAGAATGTTTATCACCCCTTGAGAGGGATACTCTTACCACTGCCTATGAAGAGAGAGATGTCTGGGATAAAAGATTGTCTTTATGTTTATCAGAACCTTTTAATTGCCCACAGCAGGCAATCCTTGAGCATCTAAACAAGTGTGGCTTTGCAAGAATTTGCACCAAGAAAGAAAGATGTCACTATCATTTGAGAAGATGTACATGTTAAAAAGCCTAAATTTAAAAGTGGAACTAAGAGGCTGCAGGCTTCCCCAGCTTCCTTTGTCCTCACAGGAGAGAGGAGCTAGAAACCAAATATCCCTGCCCTGCTGGCTTTTGCTGTTTTTTGCTTTTTGCACCTCTGAGGCAGGTCCAGCAGTGCTGGTTTGTTGGATCAGGAGACTGATAAGAGCAGAGCAGACACCCCTCTTGTCTCCCCCAGCCTCTCATGAGTGTCCCCCCAAAACAATTTGCAGAAGCTCTCAGTTCCACCTTGCTGGTTTAGCTCAAACTCAATTCTTTCTAACTTGTGCCAGATATTGCCTGCTTTGATGAGCCAGATGCCAGCTGGAAATGGACTGTCCCAAACTCCTTGTGCCATTTCACGCAGAAAAAAGCACTGCACAGAAGGGCCTCCGTTGAGGTGCAGAGAGTGCTCCAGGTGTCTTCAGAGCACAGGGTGAGGTGATTGGGTGTTATTGCTGGAAATCAGACCTTCCAAGCAGCTTCTGTTTCTTTATAGCTCTGCCCTGAATTCTTGACACTTTTTCCTGCATTTGCCACAGGTCTCAGGACCATTTTCATGCTTGGTCCAAGTGGTCCAGCAAAAGATTCAGGGTCTCACAGTCTATTTCACCCAGGAGAAGAAAGTTATAAGGGCATCAGATAGCTTGGAGATAATTGTGCACCTTCTCAAGGAAAGGCAAGGTTTTCTTTTCTACCACTTAGGGGGAATTGAAAACCATACACTCAAATCTCCTTTCTGAAAGGGCCTCCCAGGGTCTTTCCTTGGGCCAGACTCACTTTGCACACCTGGGCAGTGCTGGTGCAACAATCACGGAGTGCCTGTGATGTCTGTGTGTCACCCAAACACTCCTGCTCCTTACAGAATTGAAATTTAAGTCCATTGTTCTGGCTAGTGGGGTTCCAGTTGCTCACATCTCTGGTTTGAACAGGGATGAGGCTCCTTCCTGGCCTCTGGAGGTGACAATTAACTCAGCTGCCTGCTCTAGAGCTTCTTGCACCCAACGACAATGATCTTTCTCACTATTTTGACCCAATCTGCAGCAACATCTGTGGTGCATGTCTCAAAAGCCATATGGTAAGGAAACGGCAATTCCTTGCACCTAGCTGGGCTGTCTATTTCTTAAACAATGTAGGCTGATTCTGGGTAACAGGGAGATAATTTTGGATCTTGAACCATTTCTTTGCCGTTTTCCTGAGGAACGGCTGAACAATTTGAATTCAATGCAAATGTTCTTGCTGAAATCTTGCTGAAAAAAGCTGCAAGAGTGTTCTGATTCCCTTGCTGCTCCTCACACACACTGTGCATTTACTCACCATCTACTTGCCCTTCAGTGCTTGGCAGATTTTGCTGCATTCAGCCCAGCAAGGCACAGGTGCAACCACAGCAGATGGTGGCAAGCCTCATCTAACAGAGGCAACTTTAAAGAAAAGCAGATTTTTGCTCAAGAAATAGAATATGAAAGGGTCCAGATACCAAGGGTTATGAATCCAGCAATAACATAGCTCTGCTGATAATGACAATATTTGGAATAATTTTTATTTGAATAGATCTGCCTGCATTACCAATATCTACAAGGTTGCTTGGTAACTATTTCCCAATACCCAGAGACTGAGAAACATTTTTTTCAAAACTAAATTGCAATTCTGATATTAAATTTCACATTTTAGTGGTTCCAGTCTCCTCGGTATGGCTGTTTAGTCGCAGCAATATTCCTGGTAGCATTTTTTTATATTATCCACTTTTCTATATTTTTTTTTACTTTCTTTCCTTTCCCAAAGGTGCCAAGTGAGGTTACAAGTAAATATTTCATACTCCTTCCTTGGAAATATGTTGATATTTTAAGAAGTGTCAGTAAAACTGTAAAGTGAGAATACTGGTGATCTCAGACTCGAGTTGCATAATTCAGGATGATTTTCAAAACCCAAGTAGAAAGCAATTCTAAATTATCAGTGGGTGGAAATAAAATTGCCACATAAAGCAGTAAAGCAAATGGTATTAAAGTGTTGCATGGAAAATAGGTGAATATGTTTAAATATAAGTCACGCTTCTCTGTATTTGTTTTGCTGTTGGTGCAGTGCCAGCAGTCACTTATTATCCAGAAGCTGCATTGTGTGGTCATGAAGATAAAGGAAAATACATTAATAATAATAATAATAATAATAATAATAATAATAATAATAAATGTACTGATGATGGGGTCACAGTTTAGTAATGAATAAAATGCCACAATGATCTACTAAATTACTTGTCAAAATTTACCTAAAAATAAAAAGGCAAATTAAAAAGAGGAAGGAACAAGGTCCACCATGCTGCAGTTTCAGAAGTGTATCTGCTGATTTCCTCATGCTGCAAATTTTAGTTACAAAGTCATGCCTCCCCCATTTTTTGAGGATTAACAAATTCACTTCTGCCTTCCCTGCTAACGAGGACAGCACTACAGAAGGTGGTAGGCTGCTTGTAAATGCCAGGGTTCTGCTGATTTGTGGGTACTTCTGTGACTAAAGGAATGTAGCAGTTGTGTGAGACGACCCCTAATATCTCTTTTGCTCCCTGACAATGCCAGATTGTGCAGGGAGCTGTGCCTGAAAGTGAAATTCCCACCTCCCCAAATATATGCACAGTGACTTTCTGGAACATGATTTTCACAACAAGTACCCACACTTTGTTCATTTGCTTTCCCGGTGGCCTCTTTTGACTGGAGGCTTGAAACAAGCAGCTCAGAGCTGTGGAAGGTCAGGAGAAAGCAAATAACATTTGTTTAACAGCTATTTGTAGTAGAAAAAGTTTAGCTGATATGTGGGTGATGGCATCAATTCTACTCCACAGCTCCTACAAAAGAAAACAGATCTTGAGATCACTTTGGAGCACCCTTTCTCTGGCTTTGAGGAAACAGCAAAATTTGCATTCTGGTAGATGATTGCGGAGCTCTGATTCCTACAAAAGTCCTCAGCCACTGAATGTGCTTCCTAAGAAATCCTCAATTACAGCAAACTAGACAATTTGGAGGTGACTAGGAGTTTCTGTCAAGGCTGTAAAATGTAGAAATGGAGGATACCTGTAGAAAAAGTTGCAATCTAAACCTTCCCCCGGTTCATTGCCAGGTGAATCTGACTTCTGGCATTTTAAAAATAGAAATGGAAGGTTTGTTTGTCCCCAGGGCCCAACTCTGTCCTAAGTGCCACATTCCTATGGAGGCTATGGAAACTTCAGCACTGGAAATCTCTAAAAAAACAGATCAGACAGAGCTGTCTGGAGTGACATCTGCAGGCAAGCTTGGTGTAAGACAAAGGAACCCAAAAGTCCTGGTCTCACTCCTGCCATTAGATTTCTAATATTATTAATAGCATTTGGTAATAACTGCACTAAAAGATTTGTCCTTTACACTGCAAATATGGGAAGCATTTAAGCCAAGGCCAGCTACTTTCCAGAAGGAATATTATATTTCACATATTCTGGGCTCCTGAGGAGATTTTTGGTCTGTGCTACAGAAAAGGTGAAGCCCCATGGCTGCAATGATCCCCAATAATTCCAGATTCACAGAATTTATTACAGCAGTTGTTTATTCATTGTTTAACTACAGATATACTTAATATTGCCCAAAATCAGACATCATGGGTGTGGCACATCTTCAGTCCATCCCCTCTCACCCAG